TCAAAATTAGATTAGTTTTGACTAATATAAATAAATACTTGTATGCATGTATATATAAATACAAAAAATATACATATACATGTATGTGTTTGTATATATGTGTGTTTGTGTGTGTGTGTATATGTGTGTGCGTGTGTGTGTGTGTGTGTGTGTGTGTGTGTGTGTGTGTGTGTGTGTGTGTGTGTGTGTGTGTGTGTGTGTGTGTGTGTGTGTGCGCGCGCGTGTGTGTATGTATGTATGTATGTATGTATGTATGTATGTATGTATGTATGTATATATGCATGCATGTATGTATATACTTATTTAACCAAAATACCTAATTCGAAAGCAAACAAACAAACAGATAAACAAAAACACACAAACAAACAATGAAGGAGAGTCGAGCGTGAACAAATAAAAAGTTTAATGTTTACAAATTCGAAAATTGAACATGATGAACGCGCATTTGGAGCAACGATGAGAAGATTGCAATGTTGCAGTATAATGAAGGACTATGATAGGGGGGGGAGGGGGGAGGGAAGTGAATGATATAATGAATAAATGAATAAAGAAAAAAATCATTAAAAAAAGGAACCTTCGTATACCAGGAATGTCAAGTGAGAAAAAAAGTATATATTTAGTGAACAGTTTTTTTCCCGATGTACAATAGGCTTTTTGGAATGATTGTCTGACGCGGAGAAACCAAAAGAAACAAAATAATAATTGTAATAAATGAACATACAAGTAAAAAGAAATAAAGGATTATGGTAACGTAAGTAATAAAAAAAAAAAAAAAAAAAAAAAAAAAACAATAAAGAAGATCAAAATAAGAATAAAAATGAGATAACAAAACACAAATAGGAGGAAATCACAAGCAAAAGAAAAAGATAAAGGAAAAAAGAAAAGAAAAAGGAAAAAAAAGAAAAAGAAAAAAGGGAAAGAAAAGAAAACCGAAGAGAAAACAACAAAAAACATACGATCGGCTTATCAAAAAACACCAAAAATTATTAAGAAACAAAAAATAGAAAGAAAGAAAATAGAGAAAAGAGAGAGAAGATAGAGAAAAAGAGAGAGAAAGAGCGAAAGAAAGAAAAAGATAGAAAGAAAGAAAAAGATAGAAATAAAGAAAAAGATAGAAAGAAAGAAAGAAAAGAGAAAGAGAGGAAGAAGAGCAAGAGAGAAGAGATACGAAAGACAGGTGGTGAGACAAGTGAGAACAGGTGGTTCAACTTGGCTGCTGGCGGAGGAGGTAGGAGAGGGGGGGGGAGAGGGGAAGGGGGGTAGAGGGTTAAGCGAGAGAGGGAGAGGAAAAGGAGGAAGAGGGGAAGAAGGGAAGGGAGGAAGGAGGAAGAGTGTTAGGCGAAGAGGGGGAGGAAGGGGCGGAGACGCATGATTGTGGAAGAGGAAGAGATAAAAGGGATGAGAGGGGAGGGAAAGGAAGAGAAATGGAAGAGGGAAAGGAGAAGTGAAAGTGGGAGTGGAGAATAGGGGAAACAAGAGAGTGGCAAAAGGGGAGTGGCAAAAGGGGTAAATGGGAGGAAGAGGGAAAGAGAAATGGAAAAAGGAAAGGGGAAGCAGTAAAGACAAAAAGGGAATGAGGATGACGGGGAAGAGGAAGGAGAGGTAGAGAAGGATAAAGGGAGAGGAAGGAGAGAGAGAGGAGGGGATGAGAGAGGAAGGAAAGGGGAGGGAGAGGAAGGGAGAGGGAAGAGGAGAGGGAGAAGGACAAGGAGAAACAGGAGGAATGACAAGGGAAGGGGGGGAGGAAAAGAGAGAAAAAAAAGGGGGAAGGGGTGAGAGTGGGGGTGGAGAGAAGGGGAAGCAGGAATAAGAAAGGGGGAGGAAGACGTTGGGTGAGAAAGGGAGAAGAGGAGAAGGGGAGTAAAAGTGAGAGATGGGGAAAGGGAGAGATAGCAAGAGTGAAAAAAGGAAAAGGCAGAGAAGAAACAGGAGAAGAAGGGAAAAGTAGAACAAGAGTAGAGAGAAGAGGAAAAGAGGGGTAAGAAAGCAGGAATGAAAAAGGCGAGAAGGGAGAGAAGAGATAAAAGAAAGTAAAAGGACAGGAAAGAAGTAGAAGAGATGAGAGGAGATAAGAGGAGAGGGGAAGCAGGAGTGAGAAAGGAGGGAGAGGAGTAGGGGAAGAGGAGGGGAGGAGGAGGGGGGGGGGAATTGGCAAGGCAGGTTCGGTCATCAGTGAACGGTCTAAATCCCCAGCGATAACGGGGAACACGATGGCTATGCAATTTGGAAGAGGATGGAGGAGGAAGAGGGGGGGAGGGGGGGGAGGGGGAGAGGATGGAGGAGGATGGAGGGAGGGGGAAGGGGGAAAATGGGGTAGAGGATGGAGGAGGAAGATTGGTGGAGGAAGGAAGGAGGGAGAGGGGGGAAATGGGGGAAAGGATGAAGGAGGAAGATTGGAGGAGGAAAGGGGGAGGGGGGAAAGGGGGGGAAAGGGGGAGAGGATGGAGGGGGACGGGGGAAGGGAAAGGAAAGAGGATGGAGGGGGAAGAGGGGAGGAGGA